ATTGAATAGAAGCGGGGTAGCTCGGTTGGCTTGGGAAGTTTCTCAGGTCAACTCACAGAAAATGCAGTGAACAACCAAGGAATAAATGGTCCCAAGAATATATGGAACAGTGTATGTAAAAAAGAAAATATTCAGAGACCAGGCTCTGAGGCATTGCAGAAACATTGAGTCAAGAACCTTATTCTAATAGACATCTCCCACCAAACAGGCTGTACTTCCCTGGTCTGTACTGTCAGCCACCTCATTGCTCACACTAAAAACTCAGGAGACACCCCATTCCCCTCTTTCCCTCACTCCCCACGGCTGAGTCTCCAGCAGGTTCTGCTGATTGCCCTTGCCCACACACACCAACCCCCCACCCCATGTTCAATTTCTGTCCATACCACCCCCCGACCCCCACAACACGCAGGTGCCTCTTGCTGCCTCTTTAGGTCTGGGTGCACTGGGCAGGGAATTCCAGGGTCCTGGGCACCAAACATGGTCAGGTAGGGGTTAGTGTGGGCTCTCAATATTCATAACCCTTTGAACCTGTGGATTCCTCACATTGGTGGGGGCTCGGCTGGGGAGGCCAGTCAGCACCTCCTAGAGCGGGTCCCTGGGTAGGGGTCCTTGATGTTGGGGCGAGGCTGGGGCTGCCTTTGACTTCAGCTCCAAACTCCTTCTGATGAGGAGACCATGTCCCCTACCTCCACTGCTGCCATTCTATCCCAAATCACCCACAACTGCTCCACAACCTCTCGGGGACCCCTGCTGCCACCCTTGCTCTCCTGTAATCTGCCCTGTCCCCTACCTCCACTGCTGCCATTCTATCCCAAATCACCCACAACTGCTCCACAACCTCTCAGGGACCCCTGCTGCCACCCTTGCTCTCCTGTAATCTGCCCTCCCCCAACACCTGGAATGACCTTTAAAAATATCAATTAGATCATATCACCACCTGGCTTTAACCCCCCCGCTTAGAATAAAATCCCAACTCCCTGACCTTACATGATCCTTCTGGGGCAGCTGGGGACAGGGAGGAGGGGCATACACTTTCAGTGACTATCCTCAGAGTTAACAGCATGAGCTTTGGCACCGGACAGCCTGGCTCAAATCCTGTTTAGCTACTTACCATCTGTGTAAACTGGAGTGAGTACTTATACCTCTCTAAGCCTTAGTTTCCTCGTCTATAAACTGTAAATGAGGCTCTAAGTTGTCAGGATTCACCAGGATGGTTTGTGAAAAGCACTCAGTACACTTACACTATTATTAGCTGATAAAAATAATAATAATGGAAGCATTAACTAATTTAAATCCAGCATCTGAATCTTCAACTATGAGTTTTTCACATATTTACTTAAGCTGACAAGCCGTGCTGTCTATAAACTAAGTATATGACAAATTTCCTTGTGGAAGACAAGCTTGTTTAAGCTTAATTAAGCTAATGGAATAATAAAACTATTAAATCAATAGCTAGAAACATCCAGAATACCCTGAGAGGATTGTCTAACACAGTACAATTCCAAGAGACATTTCGAAAGCTCTCGTTTTATAAGGATGCACGTCGGCTGTGATCTGTCCTCATTTTGAACTTAGGTTGAGAAAGAATAGAGAAAAACACAAGCACTGAAGAACTTTCTTTTCATTTGCAGGCCCACTCCTCATTTGGAATATGTCTGGTACCTACAATATCCCTGACTTGCAATCGTCCAGCCCCTCTGGAGTTGGGGGCACCTATATTGCTCAGGGAAACCATTATATTTTCAGGTAACATCCATTTTTATAAAGCACATTCTATAAAACCAAAATTGATCCTCCTTTAACAAAACCTGTTAATAGTTGTTCATTTGGTTGGCATCCTGGTACCAATCCAGCTTCCTAGATCATTTTGGATTATGCTTCTATCACCATTAGCTAGTATACACAGTCTCATGTCACGTGAATATCGGATGATCAGGTCACCTACATCCTCGTGCTAGTCACTGACAAAGCTGTTGAACAGGGTGCTGCCATCTGCCGTCCAGACCTGCCTCCAGGCTCCTGGGGCTCACTGACTACCGCTCTACATGCCTGGTCATTTGACCAATTGGTGGACAGACCCTAGGGTGACTCCCATGATTCATGTTCTTGTGTAATCCTTCCCCAAGTGTGGAACTGTGACTTGCTTCTAACCAACAGAATATGGCAAAGGGGAAGGGATGTCACTCCCTTGATGAGGCAACAGTATTCAAGGGTCCATCTTAAACTGGAGTGAGAAAGACTCCTTGCTGGCCCTGAAGAAGCTGCAATGTTGTGAGATGGCTGCATGGCAGGGAACTGTGGGTGGCTCTGAAAGCTAAGAGTGGTTCCGAGTTGGCAACCAGAAAGAGAACAGGAACCTCAACCTTAGTCTCAAAAAGATGAATTATGCCAAGAACCTGAGGGAATGTGGAAATGGATCTTTCCCCAGTTGAGCTTCTGATGAAACCATGGCCTTTCAATAAGCCTGCAGCCTGGTGCGATCCTGAGCACAGGACCCACCTAAGCTGTGCCGGGACTCCTGACTCACTAGAAGCTGTGAGATAATAAACGGTGTTGTTTTAAGCTGCTGTTCTGTGGTAATTTGTTATGCAGCACAGAAGAGTAATGCAAACAATATTCAGCTAAGCATACTGTAATCCAGCACCTATTTCTCCACCTTGTTCTTATTAAGGGTATCACTGCCAGATGCCTTGGTGAAATCGATA